CAATTATTTCATATATAAACTTCAATTTAAAAAATCACAAAATTTTATAGCCAAAATGTGAATTTTTGATTTTTTAACTTTCATTAATTCTTTAAATTTGCCTCAAATGTATACTTTATATATATCGATCGATTTGCCTTGACGTAAGGAATACCATTTTATTATAAATAACCTTCAATTTTTCTATTTAAAAATTTTTTCGATTAAAAAAAAATTTTGGAAAAAGACGATTAAATTTTTTTTTTTTTGTATTTTTTAAAATTCTTTGGTCAGATTTGAGATATTAATATGATCAATGAGCCTACCAAATTTATCTAAATCCATTAAAACCTGTTAAAGTTATCGTCTAAACAAAAAAGGGATCCACACACACATACACACACACATACATCCGGAAAATTGATCAGGATCTCATACAACATGTTTCTATAAAGAAAAAAATTTGTCTCCGCCACTTTGAAAATTTTTATAAACGAAAGGACTACAAAGCTTCCTCCACGAGGAAGCAAAAAGTCAAAAAAATTTTTGATTTTCAGAAAAAAGGGTCAAATTTTGAATTTTTTTTTCAGCAATCGAAAGAGCACAAAAAAATTTGGAAAACATATGTGTCAAAACTTTTTTTGTTTACTTACATAATATTTACAATTTTTAGTTAATTAATTAACTATTAAAAAAAAAGAACTTAAAAAAAAATTCGAAAAAATGTTTAGTTTTCATAAAAAGGATCAACATTTGAATTTTTTAAAAAAAGTTTTGCACCATTCCAAAGAGCAGGAAAAAACCTTTCGAAAATACATGGGACAAATTTTTCTTCTTCTTTCTATTTAAAAGTTACAAGTCTTCAAAAATTCACTGTTTAAATTTTTCAAAAAAATTCAACCCCCTCCCTCTCCGATAGTTTTTGAAAAAAGCGAAAAATACTTCGTGGTTAAATTACTCACCCCTAGGGCTAATTTATGTGCAAGTTACAGCCCGATCCGATCAACTTTTTTTTCACTTACAATTAGTTCGCTACAGGAATTTTATATATATATTATAAAAAGATTTCGCCGCAGCCACCGCCGCTGTTTCAGAAATTTTGACAAGGATGGGTCATTCCCATCCTTTCAATATAGCCGCAAGTCCCCCGTCTTCCGCCAAAAATGACATAAATTTTGCGGTTATGATCGTTTCAAAACTGAATAGGGCCGAAAGTCCTCCCCCCTCCCATCTCTCCGTATTTCCCGCCAAAAGTGACCTAAATTCTGAGGCTATGTTTGTTTCAAGACTCTGAATAGAGCAGCAAGTCATCCCCACTGAAAATTCCCACATAGGCTCCCATATGGGAAACCACATGGGTCCCTATATAGGAAGCCATATGGTTTCCTAAACAAAATCGTATACGTAATTGGAACAGAAATTTGAATAGGAAATTAAGTCGGAATTATCATATGTATCCACATCCACACAGGAATGTACATTCCTATGTATATTCCTATTTCAATTCCTATAATATGAATTTTTTTTTCAACTCTAAGATATATATCTTTCAATAGTAGAGGTTCCTGATAGATTACAGAGATGAAAAAAATTTATTGCGCAGCCGAAAAAGTTGAAGAAAACTACTGCGCATGATATTAAGATATAATGTGCATTCATATGATAATTCCTACTTAATTTCCTATTCAAATTCCTGTTCCAATTACGTATACGATTTTGTATAGGAAACCATATGGCTTCCTATATAGGAGCCTATGTGGGGATTTTCAGTAGGGATTCCCCCTTTCCTCATCTCTTTCCGTATTTCCCGCCAAAAATGACATAAATTATGAGGTTATGTTCACTTCAAGACTTTCAATATAGCCGCAAGTGGAGGTAGATTTCCTGCCAAAAATGACCTGAATTTAAAGATTATGTTTGTTTCAAGACTGTGAATATAGTCGCAAGGCCCTCCTCCTTCCTTACGTTGAAGGAGAGGTGGATTTTCCGCCAAAATTGAACTAAATTTTAAGGTTAAGTTATTTTGTCGGGAAACGACCAAGAAACAAACATAACCTTAAAATTTAGGCCAAAATTTGTCGCAAGAAGACAAAGGAACAAACATAACCTCAAAATTTAGGTCAAACTTTGAAGGAAAGCGACCAAAAAACGAACATAACCTTAAATGTAGGTCAAATTTTAGCTGGAAAATTTAAGAAATTAGATAAATTTTGTTTTAAAAATAGAAAATAATCAAAATTATTGTTAATAAAAATCGTAAATGACATTTAAAGAAATAAATAATGAAATATTAATAATAGTTTAAATTCCAGAAATTGTCTAAACATTAACTCAAACATCTACAAAACCAATAAAAAAATTTTTTTTTTTTTAACCAATTTTAACGGAAAACCGTCAATGAATGTATTTGTTCGCTCAAATGTTTCAATAACTTGAAAAATTCAAATACTTAAACACACTTCTAATTTCGCATCATACGTTCGAGAGCGAAGCGTGAGTGCCATGATGAGAATGTTATCCTTGAAGTCGAAGAACTTTAAGAAAATGAATTCTATTTTTTAAATGAATAAAATAATTATTATACCTATCTTAAACGTATTAAAAAAATTAAACTAATATAAAAATAATACCTTCTCATACGATGAAAATGTAATAATTTTTAAAAATTTCCAAAATGTTACATAGAAGTTACTTTACATAATATTGCTAATAATATATTAGGTATATATTAAGTAAAAAATTATAAAGCTACTCATGCATAAGCTTGTCCATGATGACCCTATGAGTAAAACAAGAAAATAATTCAACACAAAGTGTATGGACATTATTGAATTAAATGAAGATGCGCCGCATCTGTGTCCCACGTTTGCGCAGCCAATGTAGAATCAGCATAACATTCGGAGCGCGTAGCGCGACGGAGCACTCTTTGCGCGCCCCGAAAGTTGCGAGCCCCCTCGCGCGAAGCGCGGACGATAATGTTTGGAGAGAGAGGGGCTTTCGTTAACAAAGAATGCCTCGTATATATATATATATACCGTCGGAGATAGTGCGATATCTGTTTTTTCAATGACAAAAAAACTGTTTAAATCTTCAAAAATATTAAAACTAAAATTTTTTCCTTCTTATTTTCTAAAAGCAAATAAAATTCGGAATAAAATAAGACCTCGACAAAGATATTATGTTAATTTTTCAATTAGCTATCTAAGAAAAACACAATTTTCAATGTTTTTATTATTTTTTTATTTCTCTGTCAAAAATTAATATTTTTAAATGTTTTTGGTTCTTTGGAATGGTATTTTGTTATACAATTCAAATTATTGAAAACAATTCATGCACAGATTTGCTTATGCAAACAGTGAAAGTTGACTAAAAAAATCAAAAAATTATGAATTTTTTTATAAAAAATATTAATGTTTTATAAACAAATAAACTGTTTTTACATTTAGGCCCGATTTAAAATTTTTTTTTCGTGTACCTACCTGTAAGTGTAAAAAAGACTTTGGAAAGGTTTCAGAGTGGGCCTGATAAGTTTGATAAGTTTAAATAAATTTTTAAACTAGCATTGCAAGCTTAACCCATAAAGAAGGGAAGTACAAAATTTTCAAAACTGATTGGATTCGCTTAAAAATAGTTACTCGGAAGTTTTTGGGGTCGCTGATTACGAATATCAGCTTGATTTTTAAAAATTAAAAATGGCGGATCCAATATGGCGGACAAGAAATTTAAAAAAATAGTCGAATTCGCTTGAAAATCATTACTTAGGGGTTTTTGGGGTCGCTGATTACGAATATGATCTTTGTTTTTAAAAATTAAAAATTGTCGATTCAATCTGATAACTAATATGATATCCAAGTTAAAAAAAAGTTTTTGCAACACTAACCTCTATAGTTAAATTTTACACACCGAAAAGTGTGTGTAAAGAAGCTCTTTTTAAAACAGTGTGTAAACTTTGCGCAACGAAATTTTTCTCACATACCTACTATAAGGATTGTTTTAGACCATACACTCTAAAAAAGTTAATTGAATCAAGTAAATGCATTCATACAAGTAAATATATCTTACTGTTTCAAGCGAACTGTTTTACCTGCGTCAAGAACCAAAAAAGTATTGAGTCAAGAATATTATTTTCTCATTTCAAGTGATTTACGTTGAGTTATTTTATTTTCTTGGGTCAAATCGTTTTGTTGTTTCCTTCAAAAAAACTTTTTACTTAATCTAACACTCATAGTCTTGATCCAAGAAGATGAAAAGATCAATAGAAGTAGCTACTTGATTCAACTTCATTAAAAATTATATTGTTTCACGGAAAAAAGTACAACTATATCTGAGAATTTTTTCGCCATAGTAGCTAAATATTTCGTCGAAAATGAACGAGCGATACTGGCATTATCGCTGTTTTGGCCAAAGTGAAAATCTTTGGTCAATATCTCTATATTGGTGTAAGTGTACTGCTAATTTATACTTTATGTCACTTTATAATAAAGATTTTTAAATTCCTCGTTTACAGTATTCAAAATGTATAGCTAAAACATAATTCTGGTGAATAGTTATAAAGATTAGACTGAAAGCAAACAAAAAATGCGTGCAGTTTATAGAAAATGATGTAAAATACAGAAAATAATTATTAAATGATTATATAATAACAAAATTCTAAATTTAAAAATTGTTAAATCATATCTTGTGTTTACAAAATTATAATTTACGGATTTTGAAATTTGAGGTTATTAATAATAATGTAAGCTTACACGAAGCTTACAGAAAGTTTACGGGAAGCTTACAGTAAGGTTATAGGACATTTTCAGCTCACCTTATGTTTACACTGTAAGCTAACGAATCTTAGGTTTAAACTCAAGGGAAGCTTACAGCAAGATATTGTGTTGTGTGGGAGTGTATAAAATTCTGAGTAATTTGATAACTAAATTCGTGACAATTTGCAAAAAATAACAACGAGATAGCTTTCATAGTTTCCAAGTTACAGCTTCAAAAAACTTTATTCTAAGGTAAGACAAAATTAACAATACCAAAGGGATCAACTTCTGCAATAGCATCATTAAGAATATCAGCACCAATTGTCTTTCCCATCATACTGAAAATTGTACTTATTTGGTCTGTTTTAATAGCTCCTTTTTTGTCAGGATCGAAGGCATTGAATCCCATTTTTAACTCTGAAAAAATAAAAATAATTTGTAAATATTGCATTTAATTATTCAAATAAGTGTAACATAAACCTGTAAAATTCTATTATAATGAAGGTTAATGAAAACTAGGAAAGTTTCGAGCCTACTGAAGCGAGAATAGTAAAAATATTAAGAAATAACAAATTTGTTAAATATGCTCTGTACATTCATGCTGCTTATTAGTGATAAAATTATATTGCAAAAATAACGCAAGATGAATCACGAATCATCTATTTTCCCGAATACTGTTTTCCATTCAATTTCGTCATATTGTATTTCCTGATTATCATCTTTATATCCTATTATACTGGCACACAAAAAAAAATTGATGCTCTGAGCTTTTGACCAGACTATGACTACTTTATGTTTTCGGGGTCGCTGAAACCGAATCTGAAGTCCGTTTAACCCTATCACCCTAGGGTTTTGAGAAAACTTCAAAAAACATCAAAACTTGACCCCAAATTTTTGAAATCAAGAAAAAATTTCATCTCCAAGTCTTATCATGACTACTTTATGTTTTTGGGGTCGCTGAATGCGAATATGATGTCTATTTAACCATATCTCGTCAGGGTCTTGAAATAATCCAAAAAAAACCCCAAAAATTGGCCCCAACATTTTCGAAATGAAATAAAATTTATATCTCAAAGTCTTACCATGATTACTTTATGTTTTCGGGGTCGCTGAAACCGAATCTGAAGTCTGTTTAACCCCATCACCCTAGGGTTTTGAAATAACCCCCAAAAAATCTCAAAATTGGGGTTTTTTGGGGGTTATTTCAAAACCCTAGGGTGATGGGGTTAAACGGACTTCAGATTCGGTTTCAGCGACCCCAAAAACATAAAGAAGTCATGATAAGACTTGAAGATATAAATTTTTCTTGATTTCAAAAAATTTGGGTCAAATTTTGTAGTTTTTTCAAAACCGTAGGGTTATGGGGTTAAACAGACTTCAGATTCGGTTTCAGCGACCCCGAAAACATAAAGTAATCATGGTAAGACTTTGAGATATAAATTTAATTTCATTTCGAAAATTTTGGGGCCAATTTTTGGGGTTTTGTTGGATTATTTCAAAACCCTGACGAGATAGGGTTAAATAGACATTATATTCGCATTCAGCGACCCCAAAAACATAAAGTAGTCATGATAAGACTTGGAGATGAAATTTTTTCTTGATTTCAAAAATTTGGGGTCAAATTTTGGTGTTTTTTGAAGGTTTCTCAAAACCCTAGGGTGATAGGGTTAAACGGACTTCTGATTCGGTTTCAGCGACCCCGAAAACATAAAGTAGTCATAGTCTGGTCAAAAGCTCAGAGCATCAATTTTTTTTTGTGTGCCAGTGTTATTGCACAGACAATATGACCTTCAAATTTTGTACTCAAATAAAGATTATATGCTACGATCATCGAATTGTCAGCAATACATTTAATTGACCCATCTCAGGATCCATGCAGGATGAATTCCTTTTGTTTACCGCAAGGCCCATGAACTTTAAATTCGCTTTACAATGTTAAAAAGTTCTGGATTCTTTATTTCATCTGGGATTTAAGCACATATCATTTTATTTAAAGTCTCTGCATCTCAAATATGTGTACGTAAAAATATAATTAAACTCACATGTGGCAATCCACGTTTTTTTCTTCTCTATGAAAGACGATAATAACGTAATAATGAGTTAATTAATTTTTTTACTACGAAAATTTAACATAAAAATTATTATTATTTAATTTTTTATTATTAAAAAAAATTTTTTCTTTAAAATTTTCTTCGTAAAAAATATTTGTGGCCCAAAAAAAATTTCACGATGTGAAAACAAAATTCTTTTCAAATTTTCTTTGTAAAAAAATTATTTGTATCCCAAAAATTTAACAAAAAAAATCATTTTCTCATCGTGATATTTTTTTGGGGCCACAAGTAATTTTTTTACAAAGAAAATTTGAAGAAATAATTATTTTTTTATTGTGATATTTTTTTTGGGATACGAATAATTTTTTTGGTAAATTTTCGTAGTAATTAAAATTAATTAACTCATTATTACGTTATATTGTTTACTTTTTTTTAAAGAAAGAATTTGACAAATAAATAATTTTCTCATCTGTTCCCCGCCTTGATTTAATGTTTTTTTTGCAATTATTTATTCGTGTTATATGAATGTAATAAAAATTAATAAGCAGTGTGACAATTTTGCTACGTAAAATTTGTTTTATTTCTAAAAAACAATTAATATTTCTCACTTAATTAATATTTTCTTTTCTCACGTCTCATGCGTCTAACCTCAAAATTGTTGGTCAACTGTCTGACTTTGGTTATGTATTTCAATCGAAGGCAAAAGAAACTTCTTACGGCCCTGCAAGTTTATGCTTTTTTGTCAAGGTGATCTTTCCGGATTATTCGGACACACAACCGAGCTGTCCTAATAACCAGCGTTCCAGTGTATATATTAAATTAATTATTATTTGAATCTAATTATTTGTTTGAAAGTAAAAAATAAAATATCTAATTAATTCAAATTTTTCAAATGTCCCCGCGCTGCGCAGTTGGCTCTGCTCTGGGGTGCTATTCTCGAAATGAGTTCCGTGCACGAATCGAAGACTTTCGAATAACTTTGTCGAAAACTGTATTATCGAACTGTTCACTAGGCGTTCATAGACGAAACGATTCGAGTGAAATACAACGAGTGGTCTTAACCACTCGAAGCAACAGTTTCGTGTTCGAATTTTGGTACTGCTCATGCGCAGTAGTATTATTTAATAATATTATGTTATGTACACATATTAAAAGGGATTCAAAGTTTCGAATTGTAGTCAATTATAGAGTTTCATTCATAATAATAATAATAATAATAATAATAATAATAATAATAATAATAATAATAATAATAATAATAATAATAATAATAATAATAATAATGCAGTCAATAAATATTTCTTATATCATAAGTAATTTCATTGGTTCAAAAAAATTACACTGGAAAGTCACTAGAAATAAACAACGGCAACACTGTACAACCTATTCGTCTACGAACGATCGTCGAACGAAGTTTCGAATGGTGCTCGAGAATACGGTTGTTGCTTCGTACACGAAACTTACCCATCGAATTTGCTCGCATACGAACAATATTCGAATGATTTCGAGAATAGGACCCCTGGACTTTAGAAATAAAGGTGGGAAGACCGTCGCATAGGGAAAGACTAGAAAGATTAACAAGTCAAGGATCGGGAAAGAAAATGGATGAGTGGATGAAAACATATGGTGGTGAGAAATCAGAAGAGTCAAAGGAGGATGGGATTGAAAATGTGAGAAGGGGACAACAGGACAAAGAGCAGACAGGTTCAAGTGAGATGATGAGCATTATAATGAAAATAGCGGCAGACACCAACAAAAAATTGAATGTGATGAGGAAAGAGATGGGTAAGAATAATAGAAAAGTAGAGGAGAGAAGAAAAAAGTCGGATAAAAAGATGGAAGCATTGCATAAAGAGATATGAAACGTCAAGGCGATGTGGGAAAAATATGAGGATGAGTGGAAATAGGAGAAAGAAAATGTTTGAGATAAACTAGATAGTTTAGAGAAAGGGTGCTGAAAAAGAAAAAGTGGGAAGAGAGAATGAAAAGCAGTGTAGTGAGAAGGGGAAAGAATTGCAAGTGGATAAATGGGGAAAAGTAGTTGGTAAATGAGGAAACAGAAGAAGTAGTTCAGGAAGGAACGACAAAGGGGTTTGGAGAGATGAGATAAAGAGGAAACCGAAGGAACAGTGAAAGGAGTTTTAATTGCCTTTTGGAATGTTGCGGGACAAAAGAATAAAGATGATGGATTTTGGAAAGCATTCGAAAAGTGGGATGTGGTGTTTTTGACTGAAACTTGGATAGAAAGGAGGGATTGGGAAATGATCAAGAGAAAATTACCTAAAGGATATAAATAAAGGTGGCAGGAAGCAAAGAGACAACATGATAAGGGAAGGAGTGCAGGAGGAATAGTGTCAGCGGTGAGAAATCAAATAAAGGAGGAAAGAAAGAAGGTAAAAAAGGAAACAGAGGGAAACATGGTAACAACGATAAAGATAGGGTGGGAAAGTTTAGACAATAGGTATATACAGAAGGAGAGGAGAAGAAGAAGGATGGAATACGCTGGAAGATTGGATGGATATAGGAAGAGACAGGAAAGTGCTAACAGGAAGAGACCTGAATGCGTGGACGAGAAAGTTAGGAGGAGGAGTATGGAATGAGGACACGGAAAATTTTAAAAGGAAGTCAAAGCACAAAGAAGTAGACAGAGAAGGAAAAAGATTAGTGGAGTTGGTAGAAGACTGGGGATGAACCATAAGTAATGGAAATGTAAAAGGAGATGAAGAAGGAGAGTTCACTTTTGTTGGAAGAGGAGACACTGTTATAGATTACGTGTTGGCGAATGATAATGTGAGGGATAGGATAAAAAGAATGAAAATATGGAGAGAATTAGGTTCAGAACACTGGCCCGTGATAGTGCAATTCGAGAGTGGCAAAATAAGAACAAGGAGGGAAAACAGTGAAATAGGAAATAGAGAGGAGAAAATTAGAATAGGGAAGTGGAGTGTTAGAAGATTGGAAGAGTTTGAAAGGAAATTACAAGAAGAATGGAGGGGTAGTGGGGAAGAAGAAAGTATTGATAGAAAGTTAGAAAAAATTAGAGAAAACATTGAAAAGGTGAAAAAAGAAATAGGAAATGGAGAAATAAAGAAGTTAGGAAGGAAGAGATGGTGGGATGAGGAGTGTGAAAATAGTAGGAAAGGAATGAAAAAATATATTAAACTGTGGAAAAGAGGAAAAGTGAGCAAGAAAGACTATAACAGACACCATAAAGAACACGAAAAACTTATAAGACAGAAGAAGGAAGCAGAAGAAAAAAGATTCATAAAGGAAGTAGAGAACGCGGTAAGAGAAGGCAGAGAGTGAGAGGTTATTAATAGAGAAAGGAACAGGAGACAAGGGATTAATAAGAGAATAAAGATAGAG